CAGGAATGTGTGCATGAAGCTGGGCTAACGCGATGCTAGCTGCTCAAAAGGTGGCAAATGAAACACCTTAGAAGCCAAATTAATTAATGCAACAGGGAGCTGCAAACATTGCTGCTGCAGCAGCCACTCACCCAGCTGCAAGCCAACATGCAGACTCACGCCTGGGAAGAGACGTGGTGATGGCTGCCGTTTCCCCTCACCAGCCTATGTGGATGATGAAAACCGGGGACGTGCAACCATCAGGTTATTGCTAAAAATCTAACACCAGACTCCAGGTTAAGTTACACAAGTGCAAATTCGAGCAACTTCTCAACCCAGACCTAACAGAGCTGCTCCAGGAGCGATTCACCAGCAGGATCTCACCACCCTGCCGTGGGATACTAAGGGTGCCACAAAGGGGCAGCTTTAGTGGGGGAGGACTTGGAGTAAGGATTGTCGTTCAGTTAACTTCTCCCAGGGTTTTACTTGTGTTCCCAGCTCTTTATACCACCATCTCCTAACTGCCAACTTTCCCTCAACATGACTGTAATTGAGTCAGATGCTTCAGGAGATGCAGCAGTGACCCACGGGGCAGCCACGCTAACTGCAGGGCGTAGAGCCAGTACCTCTGGTGGGTCTTTTCACCAAAACCACACACACGCTTATACTCCAGACCACATCCATAACTAACCCACAGCTATCAAGAACATCCAACGCTTTGGACAAATTTCTTATGGACTTCTAGGAACTGCGCATCTTCTCCTCCCTCCTGAAACCTCAGGTGACCACATCTGCCCTTGGAAGCGACCAGGGAGGGGGATGGAGACAACAGACCCCACAGAGAGGCATCAGCATCTCGGATTTGCTGGGCTTCAGCACAAAGCGGAATCTGCTTTTGTGGCTTGTTTTTCTTTTAAGTACATTTGATGCTTTAAATAGTTTTTGCAGGTGGCACAGTACCTGGATCCATTGCTAATGAGAATGCTTTCCCGTATCGTCAGCGTGCAGTAATACCACACTAACAGAAAGTTAAACACTTCATCTGTCACCCTGTTAAAAAGAGAAACACACAATTAAAAAAAAAAATCCTGTAAATTATAAAGACATATTCCAAGAAAATCCCTATTTTTCCCCTCTCCCCTTGGGCAAATAAAAAGCTGCCGTGGACAAGAAGCCTCAGTCCTGAACATCTCTAATCCACAGGCAGAGCCTCCAGCATCGGCAGCACCGCCGGGCTCAGAGTCCTTTCCTCTGGGAAGTGCCCCGTGATATAACCCTGCAGATCCTGAGCCGATAAGCAGGTATGCAGAGATGACATTAATTCCTTCTGAAGGAGAGAAAGCACCATGGAAGCAGCAGATGATCCAATTTAGAGAGGCATTTCCAGGCTAATTCAATGAGGAGATTCCATGAGATCTATATAAATCCAATCAACTAAAAGAGCAGAAGAGCATTACACTCGGGGAGGGGGCTGGCTTGTTTTTCTTTTAAGTACATTTGATGCTTTAAATAGTTTTTGCAGGTGGCACAGTACCTGGATCCATTGCTAATGAGAATGCTTTCCCGTATCGTCAGCGTGCAGTAATACCACACTAACAGAAAGTTAAACACTTCATCTGTCACCCTGTTAAAAAGAGAAACACACAATTAAAAAAAAAAATCCTGTAAATTATAAAGACATATTCCAAGAAAATCCCTATTTTTCCCCTCTCCCCTTGGGCAAATAAAAAGCTGCCGTGGACAAGAAGCCTCAGTCCTGAACATCTCTAATCCACAGGCAGAGCCTCCAGCATCGGCAGCACCGCCGGGCTCAGAGTCCTTTCCTCTGGGAAGTGCCCCGTGATATAACCCTGCAGATCCTGAGCCGATAAGCAGGTATGCAGAGATGACATTAATTCCTTCTGAAGGAGAGAAAGCACCATGGAAGCAGCAGATGATCCAATTTAGAGAGGCATTTCCAGGCTAATTCAATGAGGAGATTCCATGAGATCTATATAAATCCAATCAACTAAAAGAGCAGAAGAGCATTAACACTCGGGGAGGGGGCAAAAAAAAAAGCCTTTATTTTGCCATTTGCAAACCTCCGAAGCCAAGGGGATTCAGGGCAGCCTCTGCATTCGGCAGCACTGCTCTGGTATGATCCCGCATTCACCCCAGACCCAGAGAGACCTCAGTGGAAGCGCCCAGCGCCAACACTTTCTGTTTTTTAAGCAAAACTGAATACTGGAAGCTCGTTGGTGCTCAGATACTTTATCATGACCTAGAGGTAACGTTTCAGGTCTGATCATTTCATGGAAATCCTCTCTTGTTGCATTTGCAACCCCAGAGCTGCAGCATGGTGCCGGTGCCTGCCTGGGACAACCCACCAGCAACACCAACTGCTCATGCTGAAGCACAGCATGATGGCAGAAAAACAATCGATCAGGAAACACAAGGTTGGACTTCTCTCAGTTACAAGAGACTTCAAAAAAAGTTAAACAAGGAAAAGCAAGTAGCTAAAATACAGATCCTGCCGGTGTTGAAGAAGAGGTGTAAAAGCTGTCGTGCTGTCCAACTACTCAAAGCCTAAACATGGCCGGAGCCCATCTCACCATCCTTAACAGAAGAGAAGGCAGTTCAAACCCAGCACACTTTTGTTCAAAATACCTGATTAAAAGTAAAAATGCAGGCTTACCTGTAGTGGAGAATAAACCTGCAGGTGACGGCCCCAAGTAACAAGATTATCGTCAGATAAAGTTTGAACTTCTCATATTCATCCTTATAGGCGAACCTGGAAGGGAACAGCCGCCGTTTATGGACACAAATGGGTGTTTTATCAGAGTGCGGTTTCACTTTTTTCAAACCAGATACAAATCCACATGTCAAGCCCAGAGACAGAGGTTTTGCTTGAAACACTTAGAAAACCTGCAGACAGCAGTGAAAGGCACTGTTCTGCCTGCCGGGTCCGTCTGCGCTGCACAACCGTTACACTGCAAGACAATGGCTTAAGTCCGTAAGAGCTGGTTTCTCAGTTGGCACAGTAAAATTAGAAAAAAAAAATAATCTCAATTTTCTGAAGCATTGTATGTCTAGAAGGCACAATACCACTTTTCACTGAAAAAAAAAAAAAAAAAGACCCAAACCCTTACAACTAAGGCAACAGGCTGGGCTGGGCTTAAAAGCAAGCGATGGACAGAATCCATGAGAGCTACAAGAAACCTCGTGTCACGGTCCAACTTGCCCACCCTCGACAGCTCATCTTTTATCAGATCTAAAAGAAACCCATTCCTGTCTCTGGACTTCAGTCCATATCCACAGACAGCCCCAGAGAAACCCAAATTCACAGGCACGGAAACACTCACTCACTTTGCTTGGTTACTCAGGAGAGTTACATTCACATTTCCCAGCACCAGATTCAAGTACAAGCTGGAAGACAAAAACCAAGAGCAGATGCAGGTAAGTTATTTTATTTGAATGCTGCAAGATGACCCAGATCAGAGCTGAAAATACCAGTATGTCTGCCCAAGCCACATTTGTTGTAGGTTTTCAATTAAGGCAAACTGGAGAGAGAGGCTGCAGAAGAGGATTTAAGCATGAAAAGATTGGTCAGCATTTCCAAGAAGTTAGAAAAAAGGTTTATTTTCCTGGTCCCTTTTCTGCACTACAGTCTAAGGGCAAGATATGTAGTGTGCACTGTCCAACACCAAAAGTAACAGGAAGAAACTGGAAGAAAATTTTCTGATAGGAACTTCTGAGGGGCTGACAACTGAATGAAATCTGTCCTAGTAACCCCACTTGAAGCGAAGTATAAATATTAATTCAGTTGAAAAGACTATTAAAAAAAAAAAAAAGAAAAAGAGAGAGAGAGAAAATTCTTGTGCTGATTTAGTCTTGTAAAAATTAGCACAGGAAAACATCAGTGTGAAACACTGAATTGCACAATCTCTCACCAATGCAGGGTTACTTTTATTTTAACAAGAAAACCTCCGCTGCCTACACTCAGTACATTTACAGGCACTTCCAGCTAATGAATTCTGTATACGACTGACACAGCAGCTCAGCAAGAGATTTATGACTAAGCCAGTTTTACATGTATTTCTTCAACATGCACATTATCCCTTCGGGAACAACACCGCTGTGAACACTTTAAAAAAAATCACCCTTCCTGGAGCGTGTGCCTCCCCGATGAAGCACGTACCCGTTCTTCTTCGGCAAGTAGGCTTCCATGTCGAAGAAGGCATTTTGCCTCTCCTTGATCTGGGTGCTGATCTCCTGAATGAGAGCAAACTCTTCAGGACTCGCTCTGGGTTTGCACCTGCAACAACACAGAAACAAGATCCGCCCGTTCATGCTTTTACCTCCTTTTTATTGAAAGGAAAATAGCGCTGTCACAAAATCCACGCTGTTAAAAAGCTCACCGCGTGAGCTGATGCCACTGCGCACTTTACTCCTACATTTCTGCAGCTCCATTTGGCTTACTGTGATTTTATTTCACTGCCTGCTTTATGCCGGTGTTATTTCAACTGGGTGGTTTATAAATCAGCTTCTCTTTTCATTTCAGCTGAATGACAGGATCCCGTACCTCATCCCTAGCCGGGCACTTAGAAAATATCGTGCTTTTTTGCAGGCAATCCTTCCACTTTGGGAACTTTGTGCGTGGTTTCAGGCACTGCCCTTGCAGAGGCCGCAGCTCTTCCCGCATGAAATATTTCAGGATGTAATAACACAACACACAGCTGATGATTTACTGACAAACTGCAGTTTTACCAATTAATGTAAAACAGAGAGCAGTGCACAGCGGTGTTAGCAACCCGTGGTGTCGGAGGTGGTGTATTCAGACCCGCACACAAGGAATTTAGCTCGTGGCTCCCAGCAATCAGCCAGAGAGACTTTCCTCCTGGAAATCCACCCTGGAGAGAGTTACACCTTCAGGTTCAAGGACTGATGCTGCTCTCCCAGCATGGCTTATGGAGCAAAGCTCTGCACACCTAGCAAAACACACAGACCAAAAGCTGTATGGTCCTGCAGCGTACAGCACGCGCTGCAAGGATGCAAACCCACACAGGCTCCCTCAAAGATCATCTTTATTTACAGGACACCATCTCTCATGGGGTTGTGAACGTTTTACCTGGCTGTGATAGATGGAGGCGACTCAAGAATAATACAGAGCAAATTTACCACCGCAACACAGATTGCATATTAAAATGCCAAAAATCCAAACATTTCAGCCCTTTGAGAAGGAGAAACATCCCATCCCTGCCTCCTCCACCCTCCAGGTCTCCCGTTACCGTTGCAGGCTGTGCTTCAGATCCCTTAGTGTCTTCTTCTGCCGGTGTATGGAGCTACTGCAGGCTGTCTGCAAGCTGGTGACTTCCTCCAGTTTCTGCCTGTAAACTTTGTGCGTTTCCTGCAGGAGAAGAGGAGAAGACTGGTAGGAAGAACCCGTCTAGATTACACATTGCTTTTGGTCCTCGCCTCTGAAGGAAGCGAGCAAAACCTTGGTTTTTTGGAAGCCAACAGGCACCCCTGCAAACAACCAAGGAGGAGGTGATGCCAAACCAGCACGGATCCAACACAGCTTAAACAGACATTAATGAAGTTCCTGCAAAACAAAGAGCATCCTCTGCACTTGTTGCGTTTCCTCTTTCTAATGAGCTTTCCCACTCAGGAGCTCCCTGTTCCCCATCCCACCCTGTAACGAAGCCCTAACCCTCTGTTTGATCCCAGTCTGTCCCAATTAAATGGGTGGCTAAAATAGCAGAGCAGGAACCCTGATTTCACAGACAGATTAAGTCGGGGCAGGGGGAAGAGAAGAAAGATGAGGAGCCAGAGGAAAAAAAAAAACAAACACAAAACCAGGCACAGACCCACATCTGGGGGTTTAGATGCCTCCTGGTCACCGCTGCCACCTCTACCCCCTGTATGTTCAAGCAACCTACGCGAGAACTTACCCATCCCCTCCCTGTAGCATCAGATGTTCTTCCAGAGGAACTTCTTAATCACAGCTCATTGATCCTCTGAAGCCCCCAATTAGTGTCTGACTGGCCATAATGAGGACGGCTAACCAACTGCAAGCCCACTGAGAGGTGCCTCTGCTCTCAGATCGCTCCCTCTGCTCGGGAATAAACGCGATTGGCTTTCCCACCCTTTGCAATGATTTCACCGCCCTCCCAAGTGCAGGGAGACCTCAGGAAGAGCTAACCAGACACCGTGCAATGCCCTCTGGGCAAATTTTAAGGTTTATAACAACTTGGAAAACAGAGTTTGTAGAGTTAGTGCCAAGAGAAGGCCTGGGTTAAATGGCTATTTGCACGGCTGCTTTATCTACTGGCACATCAACGACCACAGAAAATTACCACCGGTTTTCCCCTGAGCATAAACACGGTGCTAAAACCATACAAAACAAATCTTTGCTCTCCTCCTCATTAGTACCTGGCTGTTCGCTGTTCATTATTTACAGAAGCAATGCAAAACAAGCTCTGGTATCCGATTTAAAAACCTTAATGACCAAACTAACCATGCCCAGGCACCGCAGCTCTCATAATTTCAGGATTGGTTTGGCTTTGCTTAGCACGGGCAGGACTTCGGGGCTCCCGGGATTGCACAGTAACTCATTCTGCTTCTCTAGATGTCATGCAACAGTGTCTTTTAAAAGGCTGGTTCAAAGGGTGTAAGAAGCTCTTTGCCAAAGAAATGTTCAAGTATTTATTGGAAACACAAACAAGCAGAGTTAAGAGCTGGTAAGTTCTACCACTAGCCAAAAACATCGGGGTAATGATTTCAAAATGACACTGGTATTTAGAGGAACATAACATTTGCTAGTAGTGAAGTTATTTATTCATCAAGAGAGGCGACTCCTTACAAAGGCGACCCGCTGGCAGCGCAGGGAGCTCAGCGCTGCCTTTACATTAACACATAGAACCCACAGGCCAAATACCTGCCCGGAGGGTCAGGTCTGGCCTGCAGCTCTCTCTCCCAGTAGGAAACAACACGTGCTGAAAAAACAAAGGACCCATGCCCCAGGGAGAGGAGTATTTTTGCCCTGCGTTGAAGAGCTCCCGGGCCTGAGAGTTGTCTCTGCATCCAAGTTTACAAGTTTTACAGTGCCGGGGCGGCAACTGCCCAGTTTGCAAGTGGAAATTGCACTGCCCAGTTTGCCCGCGGACGAAGGGCAGGTAACAGTTCAGCACGGCAGCCCCACGCTGCAACTGCTCGATGCTTTCTGTAGGTACCCTGAGGTCTATTTTCCATTGGACTCGCAACAGCCCTTCTCTTGGACAGCACTTATTCACTTGCAGGACTCAAACCACATTCACGGGGAGCCCTCGCAGGGCTTTTTCCTAATCAAAATCTGGTTTACATGTTCATACACAGGGTTTAAACTAACAAGCTGTTGCAGGGCAACTTGTATTTTCCCATGTTCCCGCCCCAAAACAGCAATGCGCCGCAGCTCCAAGCTCCTTCTCAGGCTGCTGCTCCGGAGACGAGTCCCTGCCCTGGCAACCCAAACCATAAAAACCCACAGATGTGGCTGGCTAGAAGCATTTTGCAAACCTGGATGTCTCCCAACCCCATCTCACGGCAGGTCCCCGCTGCCCAGAGGGGTTGCTCAGTGCTGCTGCGTGGCAGCATCAGCCCCTTCAAAGCCCCTCAAGTCGGAGCTCCCCAAACACAAGCAGAGCCCTGAGTGCCCCGTGCCAGGCACTGGCACATCAGGGGCAGGAGCTACAACCACAGTCCAAGGTCATCCTGTGCGGGAAAAGGAAGACACAGCCCCTGACAAAGAACTTATAATACAATTATAAAATATGAGATGGGGCAGGAGTGCATTGAAACAGAGATTGTTTTCCCCCACCACTCTCAAAACACAATAAAATCTGCGTCCCATCAATTTTTTTTCCCCACTGGCACTGCGCAAGAGACCCTTTTAGGGGAGGTGACCAAAGTACCTTGGAAAACGCCAACCATGAGCTCCTTCCACACACAAGCAGCACCTCCTGTGTGGCCCAAGACCAGCATTTCCAGCCTGAGACGAGAGCCAGGCCAGCCAAAAAGGGCGCTGAAGGGGGTGATGCAGATGCAGAGGGGGTCAGGCTGCTGCTGGGAAAACCAGGCTCCTCAAGAGCAGGAGATGCTGTGAGTGTGTCCAAAAAGCCATGTGCATGGGCAAGCACGAGTGGACACCCACATCGAAGTACTTTCTTATTAAAGAGTTGGGATTTGTATCCCAACACATCACAGTTTGATTTGAATCCAGTTGGGAAGGACCGAGACTTCCTCCAAAGCATCTCATGGAGCTGGACCAGAGTCACATCCTCCGGACAGCGCCACGTTCCCCTCTTCTGCAACGCCACCTCCAGATTATGACCCCTGAAGCTCTCAGATAATGGATGTTACCCCAACTTTTCACCTCTACCATACTCAACCCTGGGGAATTAGACCTTGTGCCACCAGCAGCTGTGATCCACCAAGAAGCATTTCTCCTTTCCTTTCACAGGTGGGGAAACCGAGGCAGGGAGAAGTCATTGACAATTTGCTGAGGTTTGGGTCAGACACGAGCAGCGCGCTCTGCCAGAAAGCCGGTCGCTGAACACAGGATTTACTGCAAACACACAATCAACAGAACGACACCAGCCGGCGATCCCCCCCCCAACGCCCAACCACCACCTTTCCTTCTGTTAACAAGCGTACAACCTGAACTGACTTTTAATGAAGACAACGAGCTAAATCTGGAAAACGCCTTTTTTTTTTTTTTTGGTGGCGCACGTTCTGTTTAACAGCCTAAAAGAGGCTAACAGCCAGGCAGAGCGAGAACAGCCGGTCGTGTTTTAAAACTAGCTTAAAGATTTAAAGCACGTGTACAGGCGCAGCGTTGATGACATTCGGGGAAGGGAACGTTTCTGGAGGTAAAAGCATTTTGCAGAAACAGCTCTCAGCCCCTGCTCCGAGGTCTTTCTGTCCCTCAACGCACTTTTGCGAGGTGGAAAACCCATCGTATCCCACCGGAGGGAATTAAAGTCGGGCCAGGCGATGCTCGTGGCACAGGCATCACCCGCATCGCTCTTCGTGCCGTGCGACGGGGTGCACGAAAACGCGGGGTCCCCCTTCTCCACCCTGGCTCCGGCAGTGGGAACCGCATCCCTTCAGGCTCCTCACCAGACGCACCCGGGGCACGGCCGTGGTTCGGGTCTGGGGTGTCCCGTCGCGCCTGCCGGGGGTCCCCGGGGCACAGGGCTGTTTCGGGGGGGGCTGCGGGAGGCCGCGCACCCCCGGGGCCTGCGGGCACGGCGACGCGCACGGCCGCAGCGAGGAGGGGGGAGCACCTTCCCGCACCCCCCGGGATGCTCCTCGCCGAGGCCGCCCCGAGCCCTCCCGGGGAAAGGGCGAGCGGAGGGGACCCCCCCGGGGGGGGCGCACCCCG